GGGTAAAGATGTGTTGCCCCACAGCTGGATGTTGCCTCCACCTTACCGCTCAGACACTCCAGGATGAGGTAGAGTTTTCCTCCAGTCTGGAAGGCGTACAGCAGATCTACGATGAACGGGTGCCTCACCGTCTCCAGGATCTCTCGCTCTGCTCGCGTATGGGCCGTGTCTTTAGCGTTGCACACTATCTTTGCCTGTAGGAGACAAAGAGTGGAAGGGGGCTTGATATAACGACGACAGAGACAAACTAAAAAATGAAAAGTGTGCAATGTGAGGAAGGACAAACGGCATCCAGGATCCGTCCACGTACCTTTTTCAGGACCTTCATGGCAAAAATTCTCCCCGTCTGAGCCCCTTGAACCTTCCTCACTTGGAAAACCTGCAGAGAGAGAAAAGCAGCAGGATGCTGTACGACTGTGGTTGCATCAGGTGGGACGTTTTAAAAATCAAATCTGAAAAATCAAGGATGGGGCAGCGACCCACTGTGGTGAATAACGGAGCGCCATTTTTATTAAACAAACCCGATTGGAGGCAACCTTTTGATGATTTGGTTGATGGAATTCCCCCAAGAGTATGATCACAGATTAGACTGCCTAGTAATGTATAGAGAGGTAATAAAAGGTAACAGGGACCAGCAAAACTCTGATCTACTGTTATCAAGAACAAATACATAAAACCAAAAGTCTGTGCTGAAGAAACATGCTACTTAAAGAAGTGTCACATGTGCGCACACACACACACACACACACACACACAGACACATACTTTGCCATAAGCTCCTTTTCCCAGCACAGTAAGAAGCTCAAAGCAGTCCGGTCCGACTCTCTCACAGTCCCTGTTGACACTTTCACTGGTCAGCTCCACCTCCTCCGTCTGGGCACTAGGCAGAGGAGAAAATAACCAGTATGGGTACTGGCATCAGCAGTTATTATTTATGTTTTATATGCACTGTTAAACCTGCCTTACTTTTCTGGTTCTGGGACGGTGAAGTCACACACATCATCCTACAGACAGGGAGAAAGAAGACAAACAGGGTTAAATGGAGCTGCAAGATTTCAAAGGTACTTTTAATTGAAATGAGGGCTGCGTAAAGGAGCTGATAGTCAAGTCTTTCAGATTTTAGACTCCTGCTGCCTTCTGGACCAAACTTCACACCTTCTAAGACGAACTAAAACTGAAAAATAGCAGCTGTGTCAAACAAGCCTGTGTATTGTATTGGAGAGATATCAGCTGAAGTTAAAATAGGGCCGGGTATGTAATGCCATGTAGCACCACAAGATGGTGAAAAGGTCCAACAACAACAACAACACACAACATTCTTCAGAGCTGTGATACAGCAGCAAAATAATAAGGAATAATAAAACTTTAGGGGACAAGCTTTTTTAGCTACACCCCTTTTAAAGTGGCTGTCTTCTGATTGGCTCCCCTGTGCAAACAGAAGTTTGGGGTACCTGGTGAGTTAGATTCTATGAGGTGGCCAACCCATCAAGTTGTCCCCTTTCTATAAGAGCATACAAAGCCCAAAGCAGAAGGACAGGAAATAGTCATGCTCCCAGTTTACTATAAAAGGGTTAGTTTTTCAGAATAAAACTCTCTAGTTAGTCAATTCAAAAGAATGCATTACTTTCCAAACAAAGCCTTCAGTGACTCATACAAAGTTATTGGGATGATTGTGTCAGAAGTTTCAAAATAAAAGCCCCTAGTTATAGTACTTTCTTTTAATCTCGTCATTTAAATTTCAGAATATATTAAAAAAGGTAAACCTGCTTTACAAATTTGTGATCTTCTTTCAACATTTTATGCAAAAAGTATTT